TGAGGCTCTGGTTTTTACCCCGATGATCTCATGCAAGGACTGTTCCCATGAGCAAGCAGTCAACTGTCTTCAGAGCTTCCGGGACTTTTTTGCTTCCTGGTCTTCTACTTTATATATTACCAAGAAAGCAATTTAAATCTTAATAATAAATAGTATTACCAGATATTTCTTTGTTGTGCCAATTTAGAGGTTCTGTATCTGCTTATGAAGAAGGACTCTTTGAGATCAAATGATCAAATCCACTGTCACGGATGAATTTTCAGCTGTACAATGGTACCCTTTTTAGTAGGAGGATTGACAGATCTAAGGTGCAGGGTACCAGGAGGAAAGGAAGAGAGAGAGAGACATTTGACATAGAAGCTTTAAGATGTTAGTAAAAACCAAGCCAAACAAAAAAGTGACTGCTCTCCAAAAGAAATTCTTCCCCACCCAATCTCTTCACAGCTCATTAACTACATAGAAATCATAAAAAGGTATTTCTCAGTTATCCTGCCACAGGATAATGTAACTGATGCATGTAAGTAGAAGTTTGGCAGACTATCTTAAAAACAGTTTAGATAGGAAAAAGAGGAGATCATGTTAAAAGTTAGCATTTATCCTCATTCCATAGATGCCTTGCCTACTGGAAGGGACATTCATGGAGTGACATTCAATAATTGGTTGATGCAGGAGAAGATGTTGGAGAAACAGCTACTACTGTTGAAGATGACAGTCTGATGTTACAGAGAAGCTCCTGGTGCTGAAGAGTCAGCTTGATTTTGCCGTTGAAGACAGAGGGTGTTGTGTACTAGGAAATTTCTTGAAGAAGACATCAAAAGAGTTCATATAGAGCTTCTCTTGTGGCAGCTGAGCCCCTCTGCAAACTTTGGTGAATCTCTCCATATTAACCTCTTGTTCCTCTAATTTTGACATTCCTGCTTCAATGAGACGAGAGATCCCTGCTTATAATTTTCTTTTTATTCTATAATTTTTAGATCCCAGTCTTCTTCCTCAAATGCTACCATATTTCAATAAGGTCTTTATTGGTTAGTTCTTCAGCATGAGAGTTGAGACATCATTTTCATTGATATCTAACAGTTGATCACAAACATCAACCACAGCTTGCCTGGCTACAGTGATGTTGTGTTATGGGGACAATTTTTTTTCCACATTCTTTTCACAGTTTACGTCACTATAAGAATCAGCAATATTTTTAAGGTGAGGGGAGCTCTGCCAGCCTAGTGATAAGAAGTTGTGCTGCAATTCCAGTGGCACAGGGTTCAAATCCACAAGCTGCTTCATGGGAAAAGGATGGGCAATCTCCTCCTGTGCAATTAATTTACTGTCTCTGAAAACCATAGGGTCAGCTATAGGTTGGTTCTGACTTGATAGTACTCGACAACATCAGAATAAATGTCAATTCCCCCAGAACTCCTTTAACCTCATCACATCAACTTGGGTAGCCCTGACTATTTGTGAGAAGGTCTGTGTGCTGTAAATAATACAGTGATAGTGGTGGGGAAGTGATAGTGGTGGGAAAACAACCTTAACATAGAGTGAAGGTAATTTAAAATGTTTGGATGTCTAAGTGGGTTGTGAGAAACATGGAGAATTTTGAAAGGTATCTTTTTGGCCTAGGACAAAATGATTTGATCAAGGACAAAATGGTTTAAGATGGTAATTGCAGTCCGAACTTTTGCACTGCATTCAAATAGCAAGAACCATGCCTTCTTGACACGATGAAGTGCCCTCAGGTTTATAGAGGGACACACAGCAGATGCTTCACCTCGAAGTCTCCCATATATCTCTCTCAAGAGTAGTGCTTTTTCATCCTTTGATGCTTTTTACTTTGGTGGATTTTTCTTTCTTTTTTTGAAATGTCTTTCAGGCAATTCTCCTACCCCATTAAACCAATAATCTCTGAATTAAATATTTGGTCTGGCAAATAATTGCCCTTCTCCATAATTTGTAAACATTTTAGGAAAATCATTCCTAGCCTTACACCAGCACCTGCTTCACTCTGAAACAGATGAACCCATTCCTTCTTGCAACACTTCTTCATCACACTCACCTTCACTTGCTCTACCTGCAGCTTTTAAAGCACTGGTGCATTTTCTTGCACTAAAGTAAAGTTTGTAGTGGATGTTTTGCTATAAGATCAAAACTAACCTATAGCTGATCCTCCAACAGATTTTCAGAGGCACCAGAGCAGCTGGTGGATTTGAACCACACGCTTTTGGGATTGCAGTACAGCTTCTTACCAATAGGCCACATACTATGTTGCTTTTGATCATCTAACCAGATTAACTCGAGCTTTTCCATTTCAATAACTGAATCACTACATAACTTATTAATAATTTCATCTGCCATTGAGGCAGAGCCTTTCCAGTATGCCATTATTCTCCCTTTATCCTTTAAGGTTGTTCTGATCACTGACTCCATGTAGCTTGTTTTTCCAGTGACCAAGGGTGGATAACCACTTTTGGATCACTTTATTTATCTCCAATCATTAATTTTTTCTTCACATTGATACTTCACTAGCACTTGAGCCATATACTTATGCTTTAGAGTCATGGTTATAAGGGTAAATAAGAGGCAAATTTAATTAAAATTCAAAGATACACATTCAACACAGTGCTAACGGCAATGTATTCCAACTTTAAAAGGCTGATGGCACTTTCCTTTCTTGAGCTACTGAATTAAACCACTAAAACTACTCAGTATTACTGTGTCACCAAGTAGTGTTACAAATTGTATTTAACTCAAGTTGTTAAAATCCCAAGATCTATTCTTCAAGTGGTCATCAAACCAGATGGTCTAGGGACCTTCTGTATTATATGGCTTTTGGTTAATCAGACAACCTCAGCACATAGCTTTTAATATCTTCCTTTTCTCTAGTCTCTAGAATATACCATTGGCTGAGAGAAAGATGATTTGACATGGGTTCACAGAAGCCACAGGTGAGTGAGACAACTGGGGAGTGAGTTTCTTGGCCATTTGGAGGATAGTTTAGATTCATGGTAGAGGCAGAAACCAAGCTGCAACCTCTGGCTTCCACATCTTTGATTGAAACTGGAAAATGCTGACTAGTACTGGATCAGAAAGCTAAGAGTCTGCAAAGAGTCCTTCCCATAAACCCTTGCTCTGGCTGGGCTGGCTGCCCACCCCACCCTAGGTGGTCTCAATAGGCTGCCTGTCTAAGGCTTATGATTACATGTAGTCTCCAGTCTGGGGTGCTGCCAGCCTGCCTGTGTCTCTAGTTGGATCCCAGTCCCATTCTCCCCAGTATATCTTCACTACAGTAGGTGCCTGGACCAGGACCCAGGATCACATCCTCAGCTGGAAGGCCCTTGTGGTGTCCACTGCTTCTCTGATCACAGCTCTCAGGATCCATCCTCCCATCTGCCCATAAATCTTAGCCTGAAAGAAAATTAATCCCTTTCCCTCAGCTAGAAGTCCTTGGGTGGGGTTAAGCACCCAGCTGCTTACCAAAAGGTAGGCATCTCAAGTCTACTCAGAGACACTTCAGAATACAGATGTGACATCTTCTTCCAGATCAACAGTCACTCAAGTAAAAATTCTACTCAGACACTCAATCTTATCAACTGGTCTGGGTTCTTTGTCACAACTTTGCACCTCATTGTGATTTTGCTCTTAGTTCTTGGGGAAGGCACTTTGTGTCCAGGCTAAGGGAGTGCTTTCATTTTCAAAGGCCAGTGGTGGGGTTGAAAATTGTAAGAACAACATCTGTGTCCTTTAAAATTTCTCTTCAAGTCCTAGAAGCTGATTTGAAGCCTCTGTCTGACTCCTCCAGGGATGTGGTGCACTAATGTGATGACCTGCACCTTCACTGCACACTCCATGCCCTCAGCCTGAAGAACCCTCAGCTGAGGTTGTTGGAAACACTCTACTCCTTATCTTGACCTCCCCAGTTATCTTACTGATTTCCCTGTACCCTCACACTTCCCCAAGGGAGGGACAGCCCCTCTACCTTGCTTGAACTCTGCCTAGAGCAGAAGGCTGTGGTAATCTGGGGTTGAAATTGAAACTACAGCAACAACTAGCTTGCTCAACATCCCATTTTCACCTTCAAAGGCATGCAGAGCCTTAAAGTGAGAGGTTCCTGGAAAAAGACTTGTGCACATGCTTATTTTAAACTTTGTAATGCTGTCTTTTCTTTTTCCTGTCCTCTGACAGGTTGGGGGGTACCTGTGTCAGCACCTCATTTTCTTGAAACTCAGCTCTCTTTCGGATCACACCGCTGGGATTCTCTGGATTCTGGGAGAAAACCCCAGTAAAGGTTAGAAGTACTCTGAGATTCTTAGACCAAAAGTCCTAGTAAAGAATTCTTCTGGATGGGTGGTGCAGGGTACAGTGAGACTACAAAAAACCAGGAAGTGCCTGATGACAACTCTCTCTTAGCCATTCATGAGTAGAGAACCTAAGTTACTCTATCTAATAAGATCTATCACTCAGTTAATCACATTGGACACAAAACAGGGCAGAAGATAATTACAGAGACCACTGAGAGCCCTGTACCCCTTAGCTCTTAATAAATGGTGATTGGCTTCAGTTTTGAAGGGAATTGGGGTCCTGTGGACTCAGCCCATGCCTCACATTTGCTCCTTTCTGAACCCACTGCAAGCATCAGCAGGGTAGGTAGTGGAGTCTTCTCAGATGTCAGTCTCTAGACTGGTGGCAGCTGATTTGTGAGACTCAAGAATGGATGTAGCTTAAGACCAGAGGCAGAAAGAGAATATGTGTGTGTGTGTGTGTGTGTGTGTGTGTGTGTGTGTGTGTGTGTGTACCGGAGCCACCCTTTAACTTTTAGTTGGAAATTTGCATAACACTTCAACAGAGCTGATAGAAACTAGGATAGAAAAGGCTGCCCTACTATGGTAGCCCAGGGAGGAGGCCACCAGAGGGAGGCACTGAGCTGAGAGGCGCAAGACAGGATACACTGTCCCTCCCCACAGAGTCCCACAAACAGCAACTTAGTTAATTCTCCTTACTGGACACTACTTTGTTCTCAGTAGCCACTGAGATGGGAAGCTGTAGGGATAGTCAATGCTCACATTGAGCCCTTGGTCTCCTGGGATTCTTTCAGCCCCTCAGGCCTCTCTTCTCTGTCCTGTTCAGCCTCAGCTTCTGGCTCTGTCTGAGCACAGCCCCGCATCAAGGGTGGACTGGGGAGGTACTGAAGCAGTCGGCCGTCTCGCTTCATCTCTGCCAGCTCTTTGGCACAACAGCTGGGAGTGTTGGTCTCGTAGGTGTCATGGAAAGTGTTGTAGTCCACCTCATAGAAGCCCTTTTCCAGAGTAAGGACTGGTGTGAACCGGTGGCCCCAGAGAACCTCAGTATCCATGTAGGAGCTTCGTGCTTGGCAAGTCATGCCTGGGAGAAGAGAGACCATATTTATTAGATGTGGCTCCATCCATCCATCCATCCATCCATCCATCCATCCATCCATCCATCCATCCATTCATCCATGAATCCAATCACGCGTCAAAAACATTGACTGAACATCTGCTTTTTGCTAAGCACATTGGAGCTGCTGAGTTGAATAAGACACTATCTTTGCCCTGAGGGAGTTCAAGGTGGTTGTATGAAAAGTCAGCATGTAAGTTTCTGGAGTAGGTTACCAGAGATTAGAATGAATATCTATGGAATAGCTGGAGTGAGACATGGTTTCTGAAGACAGCATTCATTCCAGAAGAGCAAACAGATTCTATGTGTGGAAAGATAAAAAGACAGGAAGCACCTTTACCCTGCTCCCCAGCCATGCAAAAAAAAAAAAAAAAAGCAGACCAACTGCTGTCAGTCCCTACTTAGGGCAGCCCTCCATCAATTTCCAAAGCTGTAAGTTATCACAGAAAGAAGCCATCCATCTCTCTTCAGGGAATGATTGGTGGATTAGAAGTCCTGACCTTTTGATTGTCAATCCAACACAAATTCACTGCACCACCAGAACTACTAATACAGTGACAGTAAGGAAGGGGTCCTGGATAAAGTGAAATTCTGTATTAGTGAACACAAGGAATCTGGCAGATGCTTAGAATGAGGACTGTTTGGGAGGACAGTTCTGTGCCTTCATGTTCCCATATGATATGCTCCTTGATTTGAGGATGCTCCAGTTCTTCTATTCCCTGTCTGCCAAGCCTCTGCCATCCTATGCTATTTTTAGGTGGTGCTTTTCCTCCAGAGAGAGTAGACAGCTTTGTGTATGAATGAATCTCTCTCTGCTTAGTGTCACAGGAAAGCAACTTTTTTATATTCAAACTTTGGGCCAAAGAAAGTACTTTCTTCTGCTTTTTGAGGACTAAAGAAGTATTTTCTTCAATTTGAGCTTTCTTGGTCAGGGTCTCATCTAGTTAGACCCAGGCCAAAGACTACATCCCATTAATTTATAGTACAAGGCCTGGGTCCTCCCAGATGGGCCCACAGTCTGTTACCTGCTCTGAAAGTTCTTTCTGGACCAGGTCTCTCTGTCCAATCTTCTTTCTCTGTTGAACATTTGCTTCTGCATACCCAATCATCATCTGAGGTATAAAGACCTAAGCTGGGCCCTTAGCAGCCTAGATTTAGGCCTGGTGTTGATTGGACCCACAGCTCTGTGGGCTGAGCTTCTTGGGTTCTTCCAGCTTTTCTTCCTGTCTCATTTTTGGAATTTGGCTGTTGGGTGCCTTTGAGATCTCTCCTGTGCCCTGGAGAGCAGCTGGAAGTCCCCTTCCACCTTTTTAAGCACCTGAGAAAGAAGTCCCTCTATGTGCCAGACACTGTTGTGTGACAGATATTTTTTTCACTTAGTCAGTTAGTCCTTTCTCACAGCCCTGGGTTAAGGAGCTCTGGTAGCCCAGTGGTAAGAAATTGTGCTGCAATCCCAAAGGCACATGGTTCAAATCCACCAGCTGCTCTGCAGAAGGATGGGCAATCTTCTCCTGTGCAATTAACTGCCTCTGAAAACCCACCAGAGGATCAGCTATGGGTCAGTTCTGATTCAATGATACACAACAATACAATGCTCTGCTCTGTAAGGGTGACAACTAGTTACAGCCCTTGACATCAATATGGACAGTCTGTCTCTATTCTTTAAGATTATCTTCTACAGTCACCACACAGCATCATGGGTAACTCAGCTTGAGAGAGGGCAAGAGGTCAACCTATAGGTGAACTATAGGCCAATCACTATCAGGTTATTGAGAGAGTCAGTGCCTGCTCTTTCTGCTATGGGTGAGGCTCCAAGTGTCTGGCCCCTTTCCTTCCTTTGTGGCCGAGGATGGAGCTCTTTCCTTTGAAGCTCTGTTCTGATCCCAACTGCAGCACCAGTGACTGGAGTTGGCTTCCTGTATCCAGAATGTCCTTGGCCTCTGGACTTTTGCAGATGCTCTCAGCTGTCCCCTGACCAGATGTCCATTCAGCTGCCTCTGCAACAGTTCCCTCCAGCCCTTTGGCAGCCACCCTAACCTTGGTCCAGTGCATCTGTGCCTTCAAATGAGGCCATGTGTGTAATGCCTTACCTAGATCATCTTTGCAATCAGTGTCCCCGAAGACTGTCTGGCCAATTTTCTGAGATGCCCTTGACATTTTAGTGGTCACTGTGGTGCAGTAAAGAAGGTCAAGTGTCACAGTGGTTAAAGCACTCAGATGCTAATCAGAAAGTTGGCTGTTCAAACTCATTAGCCGTTCTACGGGAGGAAGATGTGACAGGCTATATCTGTAAAGGCTGATGCTCTTAGAAACGCTATGGGGCAGTAAGCTGTACTGTGTCTTTTAAGGCCCCACATCCATGAAGAGGGAGATCAGAACCAGCCTACAGTGAGGATGCAGGAATTATATAAATGTGGATCCATCGTGGTGAGCACACGTGAGTCTTCTCAACATAAGTAGTTGTTAAGGTTAGACCTGATGTTAGAACTCACGTGAGAAAAAGGGAAAGGTAGCTAAGAGAAGAAAATAAATAAGAATCAGGATGGCAAGTTTTCCAGAGAGTACTTCTTAAACAGTTTGGCCCAGAGATAAATGGGGCTATTGTTCTTAGAGCTCCTGATACCTTCAGGGACACAGGCTGAGGGGCTGGGAGATGCTGGAGACCTATAGAACCAGAAGTCGCCAGGCTGGTTACAAAGAGGGCATTTCCCCCAGAGTATTGTGGTGTGGAGGCCTCTGCATGTAAAGCCCTGCACAGGCCACTGTTCTCTCAGACTAGCAGGTGCATCAAGGCCAAGGGGTGGCCTTTCCCCAAATGGCCCAAAAGGACTTGCATAAGAATCATCTTGCATTTGGAAGATGAGGCACATAAAAGAATCACAAAATGTAATAACAGGATGTGGTTCCACGTTTTACCCAGCATTTCCCAATGTTACCTAATCACAGAATTCTTTCTGAGGAGAGCTCCTGTATCATGCTGGGAAAGGAACATCAGTAAAAGAAAGGAAGACCCTCAGCAAGATGGATTGACATAGTGACTGTAACAATGGGCTCAAGTATATCAGAGATGAAAGGATGACACAGGGTTCAGTTAATAGGGTCATTATGAGTTGTTATTGACTTGATGGTACTGAACAACAACCTTTTACTGGCCAGCCTGCATGGCATGTTGGAAACAAGTGCTAATTATGGAATATCCTGCCTTGATTTTCATCCTGGCTCTGCCATGCCATAACTCTTGCTCTTGGGCAGTAATCGAACCTGAGCCTTTCTTTCCTCATCTGTAAATTAACAGGCTCATCCAGTGTGTGAGATAATGAAATGAGAGACTATGTAGTCAGTATTTAGAAGAGTGCTTGCAAAACAGTGAGATGTCAGTAAGTATCAGCTATTGCTGCCATGACATCTGGAGAAACTACAACAGAAGGACCACTTTAGTTGGTTGGTTGCCTGCACCATTTTCTGGAGTCACAGGGCCAGGGATGGGGTAAGGGTGTGATAGGGAAACATCATACCCATAAGGACAAAACGTCTTACCTGTTGCCTCAACCATCCCTTCTAGAATGACCACAACTTCAAATTCCTCTTGATCCAATTGAGCCCGAGACATCTCCCAGAAAGGGCTCTTCTCATTGATCTCATGGGAGATAATGAGTGGGGACACCAGGAAGAGACGGTCATCCCCAGTATCAAAGCCCACATTGATGTCAGTCTGGTTCAGGGGGATGAACTCCCCTTCTTTGGTCTGCCGAGACTTGATGAGCTTGGCGCGGATGGAGGCTTCCACAATGTGGGAGTTGCGGAGATCACCCACCCGGAACATGAGACAGAGCTTCTCGTCCCGCATAGAGATGACAGCATTGTTGGAAAACATGAGTGTTTCTGCCCTCTTCTTTGGCTGGCTTATCTTAACAAACATGCACCCCACCATGAAAGCATTCACGATGGAGCTGAGAATTGCCTGCACCAAGAGGAGGATGATCCCCTCAGGACACTCCTCTGTGATGACCCGAAAGCCATACCCAATGGTGGTTTCAGTCTCAATGGAAAACAGAAAAGCAGACACAAAGCCACTGAGGTTTTCAACACATGGGATCCAGTTCTGATCACCCACATGGTCCAGATCACCCCGGATATAAGCAATGAGCCACCAGATAAAGCCGAAAAACAGCCAGGTGAAGGTGTAGACCATGGTGAAGACAAGCAGATTGAAGCGCCATTTGAGGTCCACCAGGGTGGTAAAGAGGTCGCTCAGGTACCGGTAGGTCTCCTGGACGTTGCCGTGGTGCACATTGCACTTGCCACTCTTCTCCATGTAACGCTGACGGGGTTTTTTGACTTCTGTGAGCAGACGAGTTCGGTCTGTGGCAATGGGGACATAGTCACGGGCCTGCTTGGGAATCTTCTTAGGGTCCCTGGGAGTGCTTCCAATCTCCATGTCCTGGTTCATAGCATTCCTAGAATCTCCAGCCATTGTGGGAATCCTTTGAATGAAAAAGGATATCACTGGTGAAGTTGACTGCTCTGATTTACAAGGACACGCGGCTGTGGGGTCCCTTCCGCCTCTGTGCCCCTCGGCACCCTGACTGACCACTTAGCAGATCAGACTGACATTCTCAAGGGCAGGAACCTCGCTTTCTTTGCTTATATTTCTGGGCCATGTATAGATTTTAGCACAAAATATATATGCAGTAGGTATATGTTGAAATAATATGTGTCAACAGCACATATAAAGTTTATGGGATAAAAATAAAATGGATAATAATTTTAAAAGTAAAAATTGCAACAATTTGTTAAAAACATGCTGTATTCTAGGCATTTCACAAGGACTGTCTTATTGTTACCTCAAACACCTAGTGGTTTTAGATACTGTACTCCCCACATACAGATACCATATAGTTTGCTTATTTGTTCCTTGGACTGCTATAGTCTCCTTCCCTCCATTTGGTCATAAGTTCCATGAAGGTATAATTTGTGTATGTGTTTTGTTCCCTGATACACTCTAATACACACAGTATAGATTAATTCATACTATTTGTGGTTGTTCATTGCTCTTGAACAACTCATATTTGACTCAGTTGATCTTTAGATACTGTAAACCACATGGGAGTAGATTGCCCATCATGTGCCTCAAAGCAGCTGGTGGATTCAAATGGCTTGCCTTTGTGTGGGTAGTACAGCTCCTTACCACCAGGCCACCTGAACTCCCTTGATACATCTATGTATTTTTTAAAAATTCAACTAAATTACACATTGAATAAATGAGCAAGTAAGAAACTGTAGTTCTATGGATGTTTAGTGAAGATAGCTGAATGCTGACTTGTCTGGCCCAGAGCCCATGTTCCTTCCTGAGGCTGGCTGGTGGTTTCCAATGGAGAGCTTTCAGCAGCAGGCATAGAGGGTGAGCCAGTGTGCCTCTATCACATCATTAGGCCACCCCTGCTGTGTAAGTGGGGAGTCTGTGTCAACCGAGCACGTACTAATGAGATAAACATCAAGCAGAACCCATCATTAAAACATTTGGTATCTATACCTACCTCATCTAAAGAATTGAAAGGGGCAGGATGTTAAGACCCCAAAGCTTTCAAATAAGCTACCATATATTTTCGGAGTGTCTGCTACACTTTTAGGAGATTTCCAGACCTGTAACAGGTTAATGCTTCCTGATATTCTGCTCACACTCATTGTTATAAATTGAATTGTGTCCACCCCCTTAATACATGTGGGGACAATGTAATGATTCCCCATGATCAAACAAAGCAGATGTCAGAGGATTAAGTCTAGAATATAACATCCTTTAATCCCATCATTGCCTTGAGAAATATAAGGAAGATTCCTCTAGGGTGTGGCCTATAAGCCCAAGAGGTGAGGACCTCAGGGCCATCAAGAATTGCCAGCAGTAGACTGTGTCCTTTTCAGATTCAGGTCTCTGCGGTGGAAGCTCCTTGAGCCTGAGAAAGGCCAAGACACAGAGAGGCCTCCAAGGAACACCAGGCCTTCAGATACTAAAGGAAGTTGGACATTCCTTCAGAGCTGACAAGAGGGCCTCCCCACTAGAGCTGGCCTTCTCAGTGTGAACTTCTCATTTCCTATGCTGTAAGAGAACAGATACCTGTTTATTAAAACCATTCAGTCTACACTTGGAACAACAGGGTGTGATGGAGTGGGTGAGGCCCAGTCACGAAGCTCAGGGTGAAGAGGGTGTCATGACGAGTAGTGGTTGTTGTTAGATGCTGTTGACCCTGTGAACAGCCACCTGAAACCTGCCCTATCCTGTGCCATCCAGAGACACCTGAGCACCTTGCTGAAGCCACATTGTCAATCCATCTCACTTGGAGACTTCCTCTCCTTTGTTGATATTTATCTTCGCAAACATAACATCCCTTTCCAAAGATAAGCCTCATCTAGCTTGTTGTTATGGTTGTTAGGCGCCGTCAAGTCGTAGGCGACTCATAGCGATCCTATGAATGAAAGGCCTGAGCACTGTTCGTACATAGTTTCCAGAGGCAAGCCTAGCTACATGTCCAAATTATGAAAGACAAAATTTCATCATCTTTGCCTCCAGGGAAAACTCTGACCTTGCCCTTTCCAGGATGTTCTGTTTGTTTTTTTGGCAGTCCATGGGATATTCAGTACTCTTCTCCAACACTCAAAGGTATGATGGGTAGAGAGCAGGGCACAGAGAGGTCTAGACCTAAGAAACAAGTGAGCAAGCAACAATGCAGGCTTAGGGGCCAAATGTCTACCCTGTGCTGTCCCAGAGTGGACTTTCCCTTTCTCATAGATTCACCACTCACAGGTCTACCATTCTATAGGGCACACAAGCAGAACCCTGCAGTAACCTTCTTAAGGCTGTACAGAGATTGAGTGCACAGCCAGGTTGTCTGACTCCTGAACTTTACACAAATGTCACACTGTCTTCTGTGGCTTTTTCTTCCTCAGCACTTGGTTTGACCAGGGTGTTAGTGGTCTTGGGCCTCAGCAGGCATCCATCTGAAAGAGAACTAACTTATGACACAGCCAGGCCAACACAAGCCTACCATTTCTGGCTTGGGTTACCTAGCAGCAAAGTGGACCATCCTTCCCTCCTCATCAGGGATGCCCCAGCTTTCCTCCAGAGTGATCCCTGTCATGTTGACAGTTACTTCTTGACTCTCTAACTACAGCAGCTCTGCCCTCACGGCAACCATGGATATATAAAGTACAAATGATCCATAGAGTTCAACTCTGGAACCTACTGACACTAGTTCCATCTTTGAGGCACCTATGGATGGGTTTGAACCATTAGCCTTTCAGTTAATATCTGAGTTAATACTATTTGTGCCACTCTAGTACTTGCCCCCATGGTGTCCACATATTCTCACTGCCATCTCTTCTGTCATAATCACTAAGAGTCTCTCCCCTTTCACAAGGGTCACTACTGTCTCCCTGTGAGGAAAGTACCAGGACTAGAAGTTATCCATTTTAATCTCCACAACTCTCATCTGTACTCCTTCCAAACAGTCGACAGAAAGTAGTGTCTTGGTAATCACTGTTATTGTTATTAGGTGCCGTCAAGTTGACTATGACTCATAGAGACTCTATGAAAAGCATATGTGAACCTTGCCTCATCCTGTGCTATGGTCTCCATATTCAAGCCCGCTGTCGTCATTGTACCCATTGTGCTAAAGACCTTTCTGTTCTCTTTTGCTGACACTCTAACTGTCAAGGCATGATGCTTTCCCCCAAGTAATAGCCTCTCCTGACAACATACAGTACCTTTAAGGTATACCTTGATTGCACTTTCTCTAAAGCATACTTGGGGTTTTATGTGTTGGGTTTTTTTTTGGTGTGTTTTGTTTGGTTTGGTTTGGTTTGCAGTCCATGGAATATTCAGTACTCTTTGATAACATCCTAATGCAAAGCAATTGATATATAGGCTCAACTTCACTAATGGTGGGAAGTGCTTCTCAAGGGGAAGAGATTTCTCATTACAAATGCTTCAAGAAGATGCCACGTGCTTCTTGTATTCACATATTGTAGAACAGGAGGAGGAGGAGGGATCAGGTAACCAGGAATCAGCTTGAACTCACTTGTCTCTGAGTTAAGGGCTCTCATTATCAACTCCTAACTACAACAATTTGTATTGGGAAATCACAGGAAAACAAGACTCATGGACTCATGGTTTGAAGGCAAGGCTGGTTTTCAGCTCAGGAGTCCTTTTTGCTCATGAAGATGCGAGACTTACTCTACTTAGCTCTGCTCCACAGAAAATACTAAAGAATAGGATTCTGCAGAGTTCTACTAAAGAATAGGATTCTGCAGAGTTCTTTGACAGCCAAAATGAATGTTAGCACCACCTTGGAATGCTACCGTCTCCTGTGGCTGTGGAATAGAACGTGTTCCAGGAGCAGGTCCAGAGCTTTCAGTGGAGCAAGGGACCAGGGACAGGGAGGATATGGAATAAGTTGTGTCTTTTGGGACTCAGAACAGAAAAGAGCCCCCCTGCACACACTGTTCTTGGATTACTGGGCCAGTAAGGACTCTACCCAGGGAGCTCTTGTGGGGGTGGGCATACCCTCAGGTTATTTGGACTGTCCTTTCCTGAATAGCTATCACTGCCTCACAGCCTGCCCTGCTCAGGGTAATTGACTATTTATAATCAAGTAACAAAGATATCAGGAGCCCTGGTCATTCAGTGGTTAAACATTCACTAAAAGGTTGAAGTTCTAATCTACCAATGACTCCACACACCAAGGAAGACATGGCAGTCTGTCAATGAAAATTTACATTCCTAGAAACACTACAGGACAGTCCTAAGAGGATGGCTTTCACAAACAGAAATTTATTCTCCTACAGTTTAAGGGGCTGTTGTTCTTGTGTACTATTGAATCGGAACCAACTCACAGCTGACCCTCCAGTGGGTTTTCAGAGGTAGTAAATTGCATTGTAGGAGGTTGCTCATCTTTCTCTTTCTGAAGGCAGCTGGTGTATTCAAACCATGTACCTTTGGGTTAGCAGAAAAATTACCACTAAGCCACCAGACTTATTGTTGCTGCATACCATCAAGTTGGAACCTACGCATCACTGACCCTCCAGAGGCAGTGAATTGCATATGAGGTGATTACCTATTTGTCTTCCACAGAGTAGCTGGTGGATGCGAACTACATGCCTTTAGGATTGCAGCACAGTTTCATATAGATGGAAGGCCTTATTTCTCTCTGCTGGCTGTGGAAAAAAGCTTTTGTCATTATTAAACATCTGTGGGCCTAGAAATCCTTAAACATTTCCAGTGTCTTAACATCAATTTTCCCTGCGTCTAGGAGATACTTACTGAAGGACCCCAGATACAAAGGACATACTCAGCTCCCAGCTGCCTAGGTCTTAAATTCACACTCAAGGATAAAAGATGTAAGCTAGACACACCAAAATAAAGACTTGGACAGTGGATTGAATATACACCATGGACTGCCTAAGGAACAAATCTATATTGCAAAAAGTACTGAGTTGCTCTTTAGAGGCAATGATGGTGACACTTCATCTCACATACTTTAAG